CTCCTATGGGGCTGGACCAAGCCCTGAGCAGCCCAGTCCAGCCTCAAGGCTGGCCCCACTTTGAGCGGGAGGCTGGTCCAGCCGAGCTCCTGACATCCTTTCCAATGCGAGTTATCCTATGACCTGAAGCCTGCTGCCACCCCTTGCATGGGGCTGCTGGAGTGACCTGGCCTGGGGAGGCAGCCTGGTCCCACCTGGAGCCGCAGGAGCCAGCGCTGTGCCGACTGACAACAGCAACCCACCAGTCCCTGCAAACAGCCGGTTCTCGCTGCTGGTCGCACAAAAGCTACCTCAGATGCACTTATATCATCACAGATACCAGCAGCAACACCCATCCTTGCAAGCTCAGTTAAGTAATAAGTTTCTTCCCACACATTAGAGTATCCCACTTACTGGCATTACTCCTGGTGGCCTTTGTGATGACACGCCAATTATTGGGACAGGAAGCACTCTCCAAATGAGTGACAGGTAGGCATTTTGGACGTGCCATTCCCTGCAGCAGAAAGGACAAGTCTTTGTTTCTCTGTTATTGTAATACTCCAAAAACCCAGCTAGGATTAGTGCTCATGCTGCAACTTCAACTTACCTCCAGCTTGATTCATAACCCCCTTAGATATGTTTGTAAACCTCAGTAAGCAATCTAGTCACTCAACACTTGACATATTTTACAGCCCAAATTATTTGCAAAACTGTAGTGATTAACAGCTCCAACTGTCCACCTCTGTCAGTTTTCTGAGGTGCTGCTGGAGCGATAGAGGAGAGGAGAGGATGCTTTAAGCTATCCCTTCAAGGAAATGAAAAAAACATTTCAGGTTCTGGCATGATTTTCTAAAGACCATACTAAAGATGAAACAGAAAGCTCTGGCCAGAAAAATACACTTTGCTTGCAAAAGGCTTGACGTTTTCTTGTGGCGTTGTTTATATTACCAATTCTTTTCTCATGGGCAAACGCAAACCTCTAGGAAGACAACCTAGAGCCAGCAGTCAAGGACACATACTGAACTGTATTTTAGCATCCAAAACAGAAGCACAGCGAATGCCATCAGTGTAGTCTTAAAGAGACTAGATGCAGCTGATTTAAATGATCACCCCTAGACTAAGGCCAGAGCTTTAAAGAAGCAGACCTGCTCAAGTAGAACGTTATAAATACCTTTACAGCCTAACAGGTCTCACTTCCACCTCTTGGCCTTCCAGTTAGAATTTAATCTTTCAATATTTTATTGCTTTAAGTAAATAGGACTTGTGTGGAAAGTCTTGCAACATTCATCATATTCTACACTTGCAACATAAGTATAACATTTGCAAGCATAAGTATGTCAGACTAATAATAATAATAAACACACAGAACTAGATACTGACAAGATCGTAACCTTGCAAAGCCAGTTAGTTCTAGCAGCACAGACATCCAGGCTAGAGGGAGATGGTTGTTCACAAAAAAATCCTTGATATGTCTTCACAACATATTTTGATGAGAAAGTGGCTTACACTTACGCTGCTCTAGATTTTCCACAGCAGCTTTCAGCTACTGAGGGAGTCCCACAGTGTGGGATAGGAGCTATCAGGAGACTATGCTCAAGTGTGTTTGATATTTCTGGATTTCAGTTAAAATTAATTGATCTTTTATCTTCCCTGTCCCCCTTCTAATAACAAGTTCAGCATGAACTTTCAGTGTGGAACTTGCCAATCTCCTCAGGCAGACATTGCCTTGCACTTCAACCCGCGATTCGAGAAGGGCGGCTATATTGTTTGCAACTCCCTTGAAAAAGATCATTGGGGAAAGGAAGAGAGAACATAAGAAATGCCTTTTACTAAAGGTCGACTCTTTGAGATTCTGATTTTGATTACCCCACATAGTGAATTAGATTATTAAAAAAATACAAACAGAAAAATTAAGTTCATGGGAACCCTTCCAATAATACAAGTGAGGTCAATAGCTATTTACTTTTATATTTGATCTCTTGTCCTTTAGACACTTGTGCCCGTATTTAGTGATATGCAAACAAGAATCTTAATCTCAGTGCGATTATTTGCGTATATTGAGGTGCACACACACATACAGGGTTAAGTCACATAGGCAAAGTTGAGTTAATTTGGTTTATGTTGATCGAAATTTTCAACAGCGTAGCGTCCATTTATTGTGGCTTACTACAACAGGGAATGATGGCTTCTTCTTATTCATTCCACTACATACATACACACACTGCTCACTCCTCTTTCTAATGGGACATCAACAAAATGGTTTACAATTTGTGAATGTTTGTACCCAAAAAGGTCTTATTCTGACAGAAGGACTGCTATTTGTTATGCAGGTGGCTGTTAACGGGAAGCACTTTTTAGAGTTCAGGATTCCCTTTACCAGAGTGGATACAACTACAGTGTCTGAGAACATGGATTTGGAGCTCATCAGTTTTGAGGTTGTAAGAACTAAGTCCTTATATTCAGTCTTCCCCAGCAAGGCAGAGAAAAGCCCCGAGACAGCAGCACCTTCAAAGAAACCAAGCCTTCCCTGGGAGTCTGGGCACCTCTCTGCTTCTCTAGCCAGGTCTAGGGCTAGAGCTGCAGCAGCGAGCAGAGAGGTAGCAAGTTATAGAGTGCTTTTTCCTTACTAGCCTGCTGGGTACTGAGAGCACATCATCTAGCAGCGTTTCCTTGAAGGAGCTGGCCGTAACCAAATCCAAAGGAAGTGTCAATTGACTCCTAAAAAACTCTGAATTCAGTGGGAATTAAGGACACACCTCCTTTCAGGAAACACTGATGGGGCCCCTGGCTCCCAGATTTCATTATTCCAAAAAAATATTTCACTGGAGTGGGTGAAATAGAAGAACTATATTGAATGCTCACTGAGGGGAGGAGGGAGTAAAAATGAACAAAAAAACCCGCATCCCATCATCCCTTTCAACTACAAAGTTCAGAAAGGAGAAGAACCAGACTTAGGGATAAAAGAAGTCTAAGCTGTTTCCAAGGAATATCAGAAACTAAGCCCATGCAGCTATTTGCTGCGTTTCCAGACACTGAGCTGGAAGGATTCTTGATTATTTCCCATATCCCATATTTTCTTCATCTGAAGAGGCACATGTGGCCATTACGCCAGTCTATGAGCTAGTGCTATTGAAGCAGAGAGCATAGTGTGTATGTACAGGGTACGGTACATCTGTGCTCATAAAGGAGAACAACCCAGTACATGTTAAATACCCTTCTCTGAATTGGGCAAGAGTAAGTAACTATCATGATAGAAGGTCCTGTTTCTAGAAATCCTATTGCAATAAAGCAGGTTTTGAAATAATGTACTCAAAGGGTGACAAAAATCTCACATTTAGTTCATATAAGAAAAATAATTATTAGAAACTATGATGCTTTTGTCTATAGACTATGCTATTCCTTATAGGCTTCTTTTAAGTAGTTCAAAGGGCCTGAATTAATAAGTCAGTCTGATTTGCTCTCTTTGCATAATATTAGGTTGAATCATTGACATCCTTCCACAAATGGGATTGTAAGCATTTGTGTTTTTTTTCAGGAATGGTTCATTTTGTTTCCTCTTAGAAGTCAAACTTGAGAGGCCTTCAGCTAGAAGACAGCTGGCAAATTATTTCTTCACGTTGTATAAAAGGTTACTGTAAGAGGCTGTTCAGTTTTTCTGTTGTGCTACTCAGCTTCTTGCAACAAATGGCAAGAAGCATGTCAGTGGCATTAAATTGAAAGAATATGGAGAAGAGAACCCAGATCTAGGCTTTCTTTACAAGTTGCTGGAAGTTTATGATGCCTCATGCACGATTTCTTTCCTGTGATTTTATTGCCTCCTCGTGGCTACTTTTGTTAACTACAGATATTTTTTTCCCTTCCAGGTCCTTGCAAGCCTCCCTCCTGGACCAATGTATGATGCAAGTTTAAGAGATGTTGAATCTATGCGAAATTTTCCCTCCTGAACATGATGGGCCATGATATTTAGTGATTTAGAAACCCCATCATTTGGTTTTCTTGAAGCATTAGACTATGCTGAGAGCAAGTTTAGTCTAGCTCAGTATTTTAGGACTGCTAAAAAAAGTTAAAACATAGTAATAATTAATTATGCAAGACCAAGACATCAGGCCTGGAACCAACCCATAGGTGAGACCTAGCATGAGAACATGGTCAGCATCTTCAGCTCAAGTTGAAAATAAAAGGTAGCAAAATTAGGTAAATAGACAAGTGCTCTTTTAAACTCTAATCGAGAAAACTATTATCTGGAAGATGGATGTTTTTCAGGTTACACAATCTGTAACTTCTGAAGAGATCATTCAGTGAGGATGTCCAAAAAGAGTTTGATGTTTAGTTTTTAAAGACATCACATAATGAACTTCAAAAATGATTATCTTAATATCATGCTATTGGAAGCTCTTCCCTTTCTCAGCTCAGGAGTCATTACAAGCAGGAAAAAAAAAAAACCCAAGGAGCAGAACAGCAACATTCACACAGCCTATTAGAACTGCATTTAAGCGTATGAACTATGATTTACAGAATTTTTAAATGCATTTCCATTGAAGCTATGCATGCTTCTCCCAGCTGCCTGTTCAGTTGCAAAATCGCTTTTCTTCCTAGCCAAATCTTACCATCTCATCTGGACCATTCCACATGATTACGTAAGTCTTTCTCAGTTTGTTTTGGGAAGGAATCCTGAAGGGAAACCTCTTTGAAGCATTGAAAGATTAGCTCAAGAGGAATGTCAGGGCACAGAGCTTTCAGAGAACAAATAGACTTCCACGGGTGGCAGATTCCCCTATAGTCAAAGGCAAGCATAGATTTTGCTTATCTAAATACAGTCCAATTGGCATGTTTTTTTCTTTCCCTTTTAGAAACAGGCTTGTCTCTAAGTTAGTTCAGTAGCTTTTTTTTAAGACTATGGTATGAACTGAGATTTACCTGGCATTTTCTGAATGCATAAAGAAATAAGAAACAAGTGTCTCAAGTCAACTCTCATTGTTTATCTCATTTCTAGACAAAGTTCTCGGCTGCAAAGACATCTGGAGCTCCACTGTCTGCTTAGTGGTGTCATTTATACTTAACATCTAAGTCTGCATATGAATGTTACGTGTTACATAGCCCCTTTTTGTGAAGCACAGGCAAAACATCACACAATTCCTTTTGTTCTTGACTGTGAGGAGGGGGGGGAAAAAAAATTACCACAAGATTTTTCTCTCAGTCCGAGATATTTTAAAGGGTTTGAACTCGTCTGTGGTATTAAACATTTCATTGATTTGAGGTATTAAATCCCTTAGATTTTTATTTGGGAAAATAAATGGCTAATATACTCTTAACACCTAAGCCCATTTTCTTTCCTTGTAGACTATACCATACTCAGTTTCACTTCCTGGAGAAATTTATCCAACAAAAAACATCACCATATCAGGGACGATTCCACCCAGTGCTGAGCAGTAAGGAGCAGCAATACCCTTTGCATTTACACTGTCATCAGATTTAGACTCCCCAGATTAGCAAAAGAAATAATTGCTGGCAAAAGTCTCCTTTGCCATCAACATACGACCATAAAAGCAGAAGCTGATGAAGGTTCATTTCTGCTTTCCCTGCATGCCCCCTCCTGCCCACTTACCTGATGTTCCTTGGAACTTAAGGACCTTCCCCCATCTTTGCTCCTCCACCCTACCAGCACCTGCAGTTTGGCCAGCGTAATGCAGATCGGCTCAGTCTGTGGATAAGTCTGAGCTAGCTTCCTCCTATTTCAGAGAGGACGGTTCCATTAACTTCAGAAAGGGGCGGTAGTGCCACAGGCTCCCTTCCGATATCAGCACCCCACATTACACTTTTGCAAGTTCCATCGCTTCCAAGCGGCGTAGGAGGCACCCCAGCATGCTGGTCCTGCACCACAAACTTCAGCGCAGCTCTGTCTGCGTGGAGCTGGGCATCTGCCAAGGCTCCTTGCTGGAGCTGCTGAGAGCACCTAGGGTCTCCCAGACAGCAGATCCAGCCACAACATTTTCACCTACGGATTGGGGGGAAGAAGTTCTGCCAGTGTAGATGCAGCCTGCTTTGCTGCCCTTAACAGAAGTGACACTATGGTGTGTTAATTAATCCCAGAATATTATACCTCTGCCAAACAGCTTTATACTGAAAACAGCAGCAGCATTGTGCTATCCTGTAGGGAGAAGGTCAGGGAATTTTAAAGAGCACAATTTTACATTTCATCCATTTTTATCCAAATCTTTCATGTGTGAACAATGAAAAAGCTTTCGATAAGCTAAACTTTGTTGTTTTCCCATACAAAATAAGAAATAATGAATTATATCCTCTATTAAACTTGAAGGGCAAGGGGTTTTGTTTTGTTTTAATTTAAAACGGCAGACCCAAAGCATTTCTATCAAGTATGAACCAGAACTGTCTGGTATTTGCCTGGTTGTAGTCGCATCCAAGTAATTTGGTTGTCTGAAGCACCAACAGCTTCTTATCTACCTGAAGCAAGATGCATCTTCTCATGTAGAAGAGTATCTAATCTAGCACTAAGCCAGCTAGCAAATAGGGAAAAACAAGAAGTATTTGTCTCTGTAGAAAAGAGGTTCCCTTTCCAAGTTCACGTCTCAGGTCAAGGGGCCTTTTTATACTAGCCAATTTTATTTGCAGAGTGGTTCAAGTCAACTTGCAGAGAGACATGCAGCACATGGCAGTACTGCACAGTGGCACCCTTATGAACCTAGGTCCCCCTGCCATCTTCTGTCAGAAGCAAGTCCTCATTTTCATCAAAATAACTGTATAATTCCTTTCACTTTTTGCATCCTCTTATTACTGTTATTCCCATCAAGGTATTACAGCAAGCACTGGTTTTACTTGCTTTGATATGAGAGTTTTGTGTCTTTCTGGCTTTAGATTTCATGTCAATCTGAAGGCAGGTGACGACATTGCACTTCATGTATACCTAAGGTTTAGAGAGAAAGTCATCATCCCCAACACCTCGCTGAACAGCTCGTGCGGGAAGGAGGAGCACACACTCCCCAGCAAAATGCCACTCTCCCGGGGCAGAGCCTCACAGTAAGCAAAGCCATTTTACATTATGGCTTTCTGCACCAGCTGACCCAGGCAAATCCCTGGCATAGCTTGTCACCAAGACCCATCAGAGAAGAACTATTCTAGCCCGTTTTGATGCTTTCAGATGACATTCACTTTTCTAACCTGGAGGTCAGCCTTAGAGAGGTGGGCAGTTACGATGGGAAAGGTTGAAAAGCCTAGGAGCCAAGCAGTTAAGAGTCCGCAGTCATTTGTTCAACCAAGACAGCAGGTGGTACCTGTTGGTACACTAATCAAGACAAGGACCAGAACTCATCATGCTTCAGGAAACTACCAGTGCGTTTTCTGAGATGAGGCAAGAGTCTCCAACACTTTACAAACATTAACGTTTTGCTCTTCGTTCATGTCAAACCCTGCAGGAGGCAGGGTCAGCAAAGCAATCAGAAGTCATAACTGCTCTAGTAACAGTTGGTAATTGCCACGCTAACTACTGCGGATCACAGTCTGCTAAGCCTTATCTCAGACCCACTAGACGAGACAAGCACTGCTGAATCACTTATCTTATAGAGCTGGAAAGCAAAGGCTGAGGTCAATGACTTTCTCTGCTACTGCACAACAAAACAGCAAGAGCTACATGCAAAAGCTATAGCCCTCCAACACAAACCAGCACTCCTTAGTGCATTACCCCAGCAGAAAAAACAGTAGATTTACAAGAGCAGTTTTAGAGACTTGACAAATATGGAGGTTTGCATTTACTGCCCATTTCTTGATGTCTATTAAAACTTCACTTCCCCCATCCGAAAGATTTGCTGTGGCATTTCCCACTGTTCTTCCCCTTTTTTTCCAAAGATTTGGATCTACCGTGATGCCTCAGTGCTTCAAGGTGGCCACAAACGGACAACACCAGTTTGATTACAAGCATCAGATTCCTAATCTGCAGCACATTGATACACTTGAGGTTTGCAGAGATGTTACTCTGGCCCAGGTTCATGTTTAGAGACAAGATGCTGTGCACTGCTTAACAAGTCATTACGTATCACAGTAAGACATTACTCAATGTTGGTGGCTATCCAGGAAGTTTGGCAAATCACATTCTTACGAAAACTTAAATCAACGTGTCAAAAAAAATCAAACCTATCTTCTACTGAAAGCCTAAAAATACATTTTAGCCTATGATTTGCACAATATAGTATACAACTTCATTTATACATTCTTTCTGCTTAGATCATATTACTTGATTTTTAAGAGCCTTTACAATATTTCTTTTTCAATGATATTTCTTTCAATAGTCTAGACTGTACTTACTCTAAAGGAGAACAAAAGCTTTTTCAAAGTAATCAATGCTCTCATCTCAATAGAGGCAAATTCAAGCACAAAGAGAGACCGTTCATAGCTGCAGATGGCTATAGTATAACACTCAACTGCATTTTAAACCTTAAAACTAGAGGGGACCGTTTTTACCAGCTTTACTGGACAATCCCAACTGTTCAACACTCCTCACAGCACAGATATAACATTTCAGTCCAAGCATGGAACTACATCGGCCAAGTCCCTAGAGACAGCACCAGACAGCAACCCACAAAACATAGATCCAAACACAGCCAGCTGAGCCGAGATCTGGGAGAGCCTGACACAACACATCACGTTTCCAGCCCTCCCTGGACACAGCCTGCTCCTGCCCCTGAAAGGCAGCCGTTCAGGCCCACTTCTCCAGGCCTAACCCCGGCTTCCCAGCACCGACACTGGGGCAGGCCAGCCAACCTGCCCACCAAGACCTCCCTGCATTTCAGAGCACACATTCAGAGAGGACGCTCTCTCTACACAACAATAATACAACACACCAATAATGAAAAAAGAAAAAAAAAAGCCTCTCCCCTACCTGGATTCACACCACCGTCCTTGTCCCAGAGCCCCTCCATCCACAAGCCTTGCACCCCACTCCACTCCCTGCCCAGCCTCTTCGGCTGCCCAGCCCCCTGGGGCACAGCTGTTCCCCATCACCCTACCTGGTGGTGGCTCATCAGGCCTAGCTGGCTGACACAGCTGCCCTCCCAGGCAGGCTGCACGCCAGCAAGGGAGAAACACAGCCAGCCTGGGCAGCTACTACAGCTGGAGGCACTTAAGATTACTCCAGCTGCTACCGTAAGGCAAGGCTTGAACCGCTGTCAGCTCTGAGCTATGCAGTAGGTACGAATGCACCATATCCATACATCACTGCCTTTGCTAGCTAACAACTGCTTAATTCATTCCAATAAAATTTTGTGGCGCCTCTGGAATGTACAAATATTGCTACTGATACAAAAATAAAGATTGATGAAAAACTGCAATGAAAATTATCATGTTTTATCAACTTTCTCCCTTTTCTATCAGGTTTGTAAGATCAGTGCTAATTTGTTACACAGCAGCTACAAGTCTCTACAAAGTCCACATTACAGCCAGGATATATACTGCTTTCTGTCTGCTTGTTTGCTTGCTATTACTTTTTATTTGTGTTGTTGTAGTGTACACAAACGCAGAAGCATTCTCAGTCACAAAGACCTTATAACCTAAGTAATAAGAGTTGAGATGCATGAATGAGCCATTTGATAGGCTATAGTAATGCAACCATGCTCTCAGCCCACAACAAACATGAGGCAGTGTATGTATGAACTTAAAGCTCAAGGAAAGAGGCTTAAGTTAATGGATATTACCTAACAACAGGTTAGAAAGTACATACAGACTCTGTTACTGTGATCCATGTTAGATCAGCTGTTAAATCTCAGGAACACATTCACGTGTCTGAGCCCCATGGTTTCATGGGATATAGGGAAGCAACTGATATATCTACACTGCAAACCCAGTGACATATCAAACTAGCATGCGGACTGCTAACTCTCTGTGGCAACTTGTAGCTCAGCTGGATCAGCTCACTCTGTGCATCTGAGAGGCCAAGGAATCTTACCAATTATTAACAAGTGACTAGAGAACTGGAGTAAGCAAAAGACCTGCTTTTCAGTGGCTTGGCATTGAGCCTGTTTTGAAGGCTGAATTCCATCAGCCATGTCAGCTGGGCATTAATGAAACAACTAATCAATTGCTTCAGAAAGTGTTTAATCTGTAATTTAAAATTAGGTCCCCAAATCAGCAAGGTGCATAATCACTTCTATAAACTTTTAGCTGAAAACAGTTCCTCTGTGGCTAACAGAATTCCTTAAGTGCTTAAACTTAGGCGTATGCTTACTACATACTTTACTGACTCAGGGCTGTAACTAACACTTCAATAAATGCACAGCAGGCTGTTTGATCATCTTTAAGGTTTTAAAAGAGATACTCTGCATCTGGCTTCTTAAATGAAGTTTTGGTTTTCATCTTGGAATACAGTAATTATCTACTGACTATCATCTGCACTTTATCTTCCCCATTTATTTCTGTAGAAAAAGCAATTATACACAGCTTCAGATCAGTGCTGCAACTGAAATTAACTGAAGATTGAGACCAGTTTCAATAAATTCACAATGAGTTAGAACAGATCTTTGCTTTTCTTTAATCCTTTCTTTTAACTGCCTTCTTACCTCTCTGTCAGGGGGAAATTCCTGCAATGGTGGAATTAAGTTCCACAGTAAAACTTGCCTCATCAACTTAGAATGTATCACTGGAAAGTCATGCAGCTTCTGAGCTGATACATAAATACATTTTCCTCTTACTCTAACTTGTCCGTGTTCCTGTGAAGGAACAAATGTTCTTGCTTTCCTAGCTGGTAGCTCTCAATGGTGTCTCATGTCTTCAGGACATGGCACTATCTGAGGACACCCCAGTCTGTCCTCAACTTGGTATAAACAGCACAATTTTTTTTTCTTGATTTTCCCACCCTCCAAATGCAAGTGAAATATGGTTCCTTAATAATAGTGCAAGTGAGCACTTACAAAGAATTATGGTAATACTTCAAAATAAGTGATTACTTTGGAGAAGAGTTACCTGAGATACAAAGAAAGGATCCTGATATGGAAAATCACCTACTAAGTCATGTGCATGGAAAATGGGATGTGCTGTGATACACCCCTCCAAAAGGCAAGAAGCATATTAGCACTTTGAAGTCTGGAACTTATTTCTTCTGTTTCCTACACTCATGGGACTCATTTGAAGTCCAGAGCACAACGAAAACACAACTTGGCTCCCAAAGGAGAGCTTTCTTAATGGAAAGTGAAATTACTTTGTTCTATTTCCATCCCACCTCAAAAACTAGTATCAAAGAACATCAATAGAACATAGCAGAAAGTAACACTCACAGCATATACTAGGTGACCTGCTCCATACCTGCAAAGGACCTGCTCTTTCCATTACTGCCTTTGTGTCTGTTGTCCGACACTTCCTGTTCTCTGACATCACTGCTCAAATTCTGCAAAACTATGCTGTATTTTTGGTCTTATGCTTAAGGCTGTCCTGAAGTACACGAAACACACTGCATATACACAACACTGTTGACTTTTGAGTCTCAACTCTGTTTTCATTAGATTCCAGCTCCTGGAGACAAGGGGTGACAGGAAAATCTCACATTTAGCTTTTTTAAATATGAATATATAACCCTGGTAGTTTTAAAGATCAAACTAGATGTTGTGACATAACTAGAAGGCATAAAAAGAGCCAAAGGCAAAATGCAAGTAGGGCAAAATGTATTGCTGTTATTACCATTTATATTCTTGTAGTTTGCAAACCAGTCCCTCAGTCCACGGGCCAGACTCACACGTCTCTGCCAATAACAATTATGCATAACTTATCTTAGGTGGACTGTGCAACTCCTCGAGATGGAAGGAGTGTTTGCTTATGGAAGGAATGCTCATTGGAGCCCAAACCCACTCCACTGAACCCTGAGAACTTACCTACCCCCACTTTGTGTAGGCTGAAGCCAATAGCACAAAGAGGTACATTTAATCCATACAGACTTGTTTGTCTCAATATAAAGGCATCATTTATTAAGAAACAAATCAACTAAGTCAGAGCACAGAATACAAACATAAAAAGTGCTTATAATTTTTCTGACCTCATTGCCATGGGCTCTGTAACAGCAACAATTCAGGTCAAAGTGCTGAATCACATAAAGCAGAACTCATAACTGCTGCCTCCTCATAGGTATGCATTTGAAGTGTACGCAGCAGGTATTTCTACTTTGGAGCCATTATATAATGATCTCATTGACAAACATTACTTCAAATTCAACAACTTGTGTGACCGCACATTTCCAAGAAACACAATCATCCATTACTCGCTTTAAAGTAAAGAGAAGATAGGCACTAAAACAATTGATATAAATAAATCCAAGTAGATAAACAGTCCATTTCACAAAAATATTTGCATTCTAACTCATATAGTAAAAAATTCTAAATTTTCCTTATGAGGTTTTATTTTGTATTTACAAAAAATGTTAAATTTTTACTAGTCTGGAATTTAAAAAAAATTTGCATCTTCACTATAGAGATAATAATAAAAATCTATTAAAAGAAATCTGAAAATAAATAGCAACAAAAGTTAAATTTATTATTTTTCTTAATTAAGGCTAAGGTTTAAAGGCCAAATCCTACCATCAGATACATGTGTATGACTTGCCATGAATCAGAAGGAGGATTTGGCCCCTTCCTTTTCGAAAATAACAACAAATGTGCAAGAACTGTCTAAAACGTTGTTTGCTGATTTGCTCGAGGACTGATGGATTGCAAGGCTCTTACATCTCTTTTGACTTCATGTGGAAACACAGCCCCAAATATATCTTCATGGTATCGCTTTTGGCACTGCAAAAAAAGAAACCAAAGCAACTAAATAAATCCTGCTAGCTCCTCCTTATAGAATGGTAACCTATGGACCTAAAGGTCTTTTGTACTCATGACTGATTCAGTGACAGTGATCTTTTGTTACTATATAAAAGGAGTGGACTTTTGTTACTGTCAATAAAGGAACCTATCAAAATCCCAGATACACACGATCCAGGACAAGTTCTGATAAAACAAGGGTCCTAAAAGGCAAGCT